GGTGTTATTTTATCAGATCCTTATCATCCACTTCCTTCATTTGTTTTTCCTTGTATATCTTCTGGTAAAACGAGACGCCAATACATTAAAATCCATGCACACAAGCAAAAGTATAAAAGTTCTACAATACCTTTTCTGGCAAATATGTCATGTGACGAACAGTCAGTCAGTTACAACGTAGGACCAAGCACATATATGCATCGGTCCAAGTTGCCACACCTCATTAGCACAACAAGATGATCACCAAATTCATAGAATTAGTTACTTCAATGGTAGTAATATATAAAAGAAAGATTATGTATAAGGATATGGTACAGGAAGAAAGAATTAGTTGGTAGAAAGAAAGATATAAAGCAAATTTGATCTCACGGTTCAAGTGAAGATAAAGAGTGTATACACCTACGCAATTGTGATCGATTCTGAGCCATGTCACCCAGAATCTCCAACCATTGGTTACGATAGTCGCGCGTACCTCAACCAAGTAGTCTGCATGTACCAATATGGCTCGGACTAGAGGTTAGTTAGTTTATGGACTGATGCCACGTTTTGGTTTGGCCGCCCCCAACTTTCTTGCATCCATCTCCAACACTAGTCAGCATTGTGCATCGTGGTAATCGGTGTTCAGGCATACGTAACACGTGGCCCAACTATCTCAGTCGATGAAGATTCACAACCTCATCAACCATGTGACGAACAAGTTTTTAAGATTAACCAAGTAAACATGTTTCTAATTGAAATCTTGAAAAATATGTAGTTACATATAGTCCATCTTCTTGACTTATCTATGCATCAGAATGTATTTTTGTGGATATTATAGTAATTTCAATGGTTGAGATCATGAGTCAACTGAAGCTAGATCACCATGAAAAACCTGGAAGCACTGGACGGCCGTTTCGTCCTACTGTGGAACTCCTCGGCAGGCGCGTATATATGTATGCAGTTATCGGTTTCTTCCATTATTTTCTTTATTTATTTTGTAAAGAGGCTTATTGAAATACTTTGTGCTGAGAATTCTATATTGTACCAAAAATATAATACTGAATAGAGCTAATAATAATGTAAATAAAGATCAGTAAATACATAATATGTGGAATGATATGCATTAGGTGCGAGTTAGTAAATAGGAATGCTGAATGAATCTCACAAAAGGTTTATAAAAGTTATAGCAATAATCATATGTATAAATAAGATACGTTTAATCTATGAAAATGCAAAGAGGAAGGTTGTATGAACAGTAATGTAATTGTCTCGCTATATCATCGAGTGATTATTGACTAATTAAGTCAGAAGTTGGTCAAGATAAAAGAGACGGATGAACCTATTTCTTCTGGACGTAAAGCTCCGGCCGTTTGATCCGAATAGCTATTACTTCAGTCATTTGAAAGATTTTTAGTGTGATGGATTTGCTGTTAACACGATATATTACTGTAAATGACTGGTTCATACTTGCTGTATGAACCGTTTACACTAAATGAGCTAGAAATGAACTGTTAACAATTCTAACTACAACTATGCTTGAACACACTGGGAGGTGCTTGCGAGTACGAAACTACAAATTCTCAGAACATTTGCCATTATAATCGTTCCACAAAAGCATTAGAATTGACGGATACAAAAAGAGGTAACTAGTATAGTTAATTTACTTTTCAATCTCAGGTTGACCATTGGACATGTTGAAAACAATGATTGTAATCTTCCTGGATTAAAAGTAATTTTGTTTTGGGATGAACTAAAATTGTAAGCATTTCAAGTTGTTATTTTTTGAAACATTCACTTATGGAAAAGATGGTGCACTAAATTTATAAGAGTTTCATTTGTGCATTATTGATCAATTATTTATTGCGGTGAACAGAAGTTCAAGAATTTACTCTCTTGTTGTAATGGCTTCAGAGGGTAATCATCCCTGTCAGTGAAGTTCACATATTGATCCTATCGGCTTTGTTTTGTCGTGCTTAAATTCTGCGTCCATGTAAGCCAATTGAGATATGCACAAAACCGAAGTTCACAGAACAATGATTTGTCTACAATAGCGGTTCTTTATTAAATAATACACAAAAATTAGTTATAAACCTCAACTTGTAGGGTTTCTGTGGCGTTTAACGCTTCCTTTTGTATGAAATAAAAAAAGCTTCCTGTAATGACAACATAAATAATAATCACAACATACAATAGTGCAAAAGACAGATGATAGCTGTGTCTAAACTTGGTAACGGTAAATCAACAAGCAAAACCCGAATTAAGAGCAAAACAATATGGATACTGTTGTGTTCAAACAAATGGACAAAACTGTAGATAACACGAAAGACAAAAAAGTTATTGTCATCAGTAACTGATAGGAACTGTGAAACCAGCGGAAACGAGGGAAAACTAGGTTTCTGTTTTATTTTACTTTAGGACTCTTCGGTGATGTTCATACATTATCTTAAAGGAGATTAAAAGCAGGATGTTATTTGTAGTATAGATCCACTGATTACAACTGTAAGGATATTCAAGTCGTTCATAAGTCTAATATGACAAAACCTCCTCTATTAAAATGAGACATTACGTGCAAAATCGCTGTAAACCAACTATGGTGGGGTATAGTTAGAAAATAAAGGAAAGTGTTGAAAATGGAAGAACATGTGTTATATAAAACTCGATTTCATGATTTCCTCTAAGTTTGACATTTCGAAATGTGACTTACTGTTTGCCAATATAGCTGAGAAAATCCTGGACTGGGTAATTTGAGCTCATATCTCAGCCATCTATAGAATTAGATTAAGGCTGACCTCTCCTCTGTAGACGGTCGCTTCCACACAAAATAATATTGTTTATAATTTAAACTTATTTAGCAACAATTAAGCTACTTACAAGTAGACAAATTAATCCGATAAAAATTTATCTAACTGCCTAAATCATGGACTGTTTATAGTGCAAAGAAAAGTTGTATACTGGAGGCACCAGTTAAATAGAAGCTACAAAAACGCTTCAGTGACAAGTACTGAATATCACGTGTCTGAGATTTATAGGTTGCTGACAATTGTCTCAAAGTACCTGGCGTAAAAATATTCTACATTCTGCACTGAACATGCTGAGGAATAAGGAAGGCAAAAATGAACAAGTTGGTTATCTTATGCAAAATTTATTAAAGACGTAACCATCATTAGTTAGTATTCTTAGTACCGAACATATCCGAAGGTATGTGATTTAAACCAGTTATCTGCTAAAGTAACTCCGAGATTCTTTGAAAACTATGAACGGTAACTGTTTTCTATGTTGGTTGAGATAAATTATTCCATCCAATCAACTATTTTGCAATTAGAATTCAAGGTCAAGTAAACAGAATATAATCCATCATATTGATTTTATAATACACGCCAAGCTACGAGTTTTTCAAAAACACCTATATACTCAATACAACAGTGAACGCAAAATACTTTTCAGTCGAACTCTAACTATATCCCTAAAAACTTCTGAACCAGATCACAACAATTTAAAGGGCAAAAGATGGTAATTCCTTCGCATATACAACTGGTAGTGGAACTGAAGACAAAACACTTTAGTGTTCGTGGGATTATTTAGGGTGTTCTTGAGAATCAGCCATTTAGGAAGAACGTTTATAGAGTTGAATTCCACTGCACGCACTCAGTTAAAAAAGAATCTAAAATAATCCTAAAAATGCATTGGATGCTGATTCCGTCCGAACTTACCAACAACTCTACGTTTCCTCGAAACATTCAAAGCTTTCTTTATTCGAGGGCTACTTGCACTGTTTAGTTTCGGTGAAGTTTGATTATAGTACTGCTCGTTAGGTAAATGAGTCCTGTATTTATATCACACATATATTAGCACATTAGATAGAAATAAGGGGTCTCAGATCTTATAGATGTCATTAAGTATTCAAGCCACCGATTTAAAATGAAATTTGTTGGAGTTATTTTACAACTTTGACCGGTAGTCACTTACTCTGACAAACGTAGTAGTAACCGAAGTTATTTTTAAGACAATGTTTATGTTAATTGGGAATCTGACCGGGTCTCATAGTAAGCGAGTTTTTCATTAGTACCGAGCATTTCAAGCCATTTAATACCATAAACATTACAAATTCATAAATCAATACTGAAATCTAGATCGACTATTTTATAAACATGTATTTTAATTTCATTAGTTAGCAACTAACAGAGATTAAAGATATTTTTCGTCCTGATAGATTTCAATCCTGTCAACTACGAGCTAGATCACATAAACGATATCGGATAAGAGTCGTACTGTACCTCTAATTTAAGACAGTTAGAAATGTGAATCATTTCATTGGTCTGAAAGTTTTGCATTTGGAAAGAGGCCTGGTATTGTGTTTGTTATACTGAGAAGCCACAAAGCAGGGTGGAATAGTTGCACAACGTTCCCTAGTTTTCAATGATTCTATAGCTAGAGTCAATTCGTAATGTGAATCATCTTTAAAATTGAACGAATCATCCTTTCAACTGAAAAATATTTTGTTCATCATTATATTGAGCATTATTCATTTAATTAACGTATTGCAATTTCTTCAGTCAATAGAACACTGTTCTACTCTAAATCTAACTTTAGCATTTTCCACTAACCTCGTATTTCTGAATAACACTACGAAAAATAAGTTTGGAAAACTGAAGGCTCGTGGTGTTACAAACTCTTCCTAGAAATATAGTCAACTTTTGTCAAACTGTGAAAAGAGATTTCACTATGAGCTAGTGTCATTCAGATGACGAATGGGAGCCATACCAAACTGAACAGTTATTGTTTGTTTTTAGTTTGAAGTCAATAGAATTGGTATCCGTAAGACTTCACGGGATTTCACCCTCAAACTTCGGGTTTAACAAAGACCTTTTCTGAAGTCTATCAATTTGGGATTTAACTAAACTATATCAAATAGTTTACATTATCTTGATAATTAAACCATTCAGTTTAAATGATGTAAATTCATTAAAGCCGCCCATTTCTAAGAAACTAAATTAGTAAGTATTCAATACACTAACAATTGATTCATCCTTCATTGAAACAATTTATATTTTTCTAGAATTATTTTCTTTAACAGGAAACCAATTCAACTGACATGTCAATTGATAACCTCTCTGAAAATTTAATTAAATTTTTGCAAATTTTTTTCAACCTAAAAGACCTAACAAGATTTAACAACAACAACAACAATAATAATAATAATAAGGATATAAGAGAAATCAGATAGTCACAATTGCTAATGAACGCCTACTGAGGATATAAACATACATACATAGACACAGTTACCCCATCATCATCATCATCATGTCAACAGAATGAACACTATGCAAATGATGGTTGCCGAACGAAGGAAAGAAATAAATAAAGAAAGAAGAAATTTTGTTTTCCGGTAGTCATTTATTTATCCATGTTATTTAAGGATGTGATAAATATGAGATACTTTTGTTTGATTGTTCGTTGACTTGTTGTTATTGTTGTTGACTTGATTGTTTAGTTGTTAATAACTACAGGATTATCTAAAAAGAGAAAAACAACTTATCATCAACAATGTGAAGTCTTTTCTTTATCTTGTTATAAATGTATATGTTTTGAACTGTATATAAATGTGTATATATATATGCATGTATATATTCATGAATATGACATATAACAGACGATATACACTACACAGGGTGTATTATATGTAAAATAACTAAAGGAAGCGAGTACATCATCCGATTATTACTACTTTTCAACAACAACAACGGAAAAAGAAGAGAAGACAAGATATACATAATTGATTGATCAAATCAATCATAAGATCATGGTCATCAATGTGAACAAAAAAGCAAAACAAAACAAACATAAATTACTTCAAATCAAGTAACTATATCATATATGTATGTGTATATCTGAACATAAGAAGATCAACAGAATTCTTTATCAGGGTTGATTTGAGAAAAAAGTTACAAAATCACTAATACTAAAGGCTTTAAATAAGAATACATAGAGAAAAATGTCTGTTTGATTGATGGAGAGCAATAGGATGAACTCTGTTTGAATAACTGGATACAATATCACGTTATTGTAGGGAAGAACTTGTCTTTACTGTTGAAAAGATGAATAGTGATTATGATGACCATGTAGGTGATAATAATGACTTGTATTGATGCTGCTGCTGCTGCTGTTGATGATGATGATGATATTTATTAATTAAATGATTTCGAACATGCCTCTCTAAATTAGCACGTTGTCCGAAACGTTTTAAACAAACATTACAATGAAATGGTCTTTCTTTTTGATGTATATTACGTATATGACGTTGTAGATTAGAACTAATACTAAATGATCTTGGACAATGTATACATTTATATGGTTGTTCACCAGTATGTGTACGTATATGTCTAGTAAGATTTGCTGATCTAGGAAATAGTTTACCACAAAAATGACATGTATAACGTTCATGTTTAGGTGTAAAATGATTTACACATGTTGACAATAATCCTTGTACTACTTCAATACTATCTGATGGTAATACATTTAAAACACTTGTTATTGTTTTATGTTTCTTAGGAATATTTTTAATACCATTATTATTATTATTATTATTATTATCACTTTCAACATGAACTACTGTTTGTGATAGTTTTGTTTTAATTGGATAATTTAAAGGCGGATTATTTAAATCTTTATCGATTGTTGTATAAATATTCTTACGTAATGATAATAACCATTTATTAATAGTTTCATATGAATAGTTACTACCATTATTATTATTATTATTATTATTATTATTATCATTTTTGTAAACTTCATTAAAATTTTTTGATTTTTCTAACATTTTTAAATAAATCGATATTAATTCAAATGGAATTGAATTACAATATTGATTATTAATAATATTATTGTTTAAATTAATAAATTGATTATGATATAATGATGGAATAGTTGAAGATAAATTAGTAACTAAGTCATTTTTAATAGTTTGATTTAATTGTCTTGGTAACAATGAATTATTATTATTATTACTCAGATTGATTATTGGAGAGAATTTAATAGTTTTATGATTATGTAACATTGTTAATGCTAATAATTGTTCAGGTGGTGGTACAGTTATTATTGGTGAATTATATAAATTATTAATCGATTTTAATTGACTTCTTTTCAATGTATAAAACATTTGTAATTTTTCTAAATTAGATTTATATGATGTATTCATTTGTTCTATAATAGATGATTGTGGAATATATAATTGATTATCTAGTTTATCATTTAATTGACATGTTTTAATTGGTATACTAATACATGTATGTTGTAAACTACTTAATTGTATATTAGTAGATTTATCATATTTATTAATAAATGGTGTTGTTATTGTTGAAATTGATAATTGATTAGAAATTTTTGATTCATTTGAAATTGATGAATGATAAGATAAATCTAAAGGTACAGGTTGATGTAAAGTTTGTTCTATTGAATTTTCACTAATTTCCTCTGTAACCATGAGTATTTCTTTTTTATTTCTTTTCTTTACAAAGTAGTTGTGTCAATGGAATGTAATTGAATAGAAGACACCAATTGTTATTCTGAAAATGTTATATAAAAGAAACATAAATTGTGTGAATAAAATTTAAAAATTCTAGTTGAATATTTTGTGTATAATACTCATATAAGATATTCATTTAAACATGTATTATCATTGGTTGAGATCAAGAGTCAATTAAAGCTAGACCACTATGAAAAATCTAGAAACACTGGATGCCTATTTCGTCCTATTGTCAAACCCTTCAGCAGTGTGCATTCACAATCTCGCCTCATGAGATCCAAACTTAGGACTTGTCAGTCTCGCGTGCAAGCGCTTAATCTCTAAACCACTGAGCTGGTATCCAATGGTGTTAATCTCTAACTTCAACCAATCCATAAAATTAACCAACACATCCACCATAATTTTCAGTGACTTACTATCTCACAACAGAATCGGTTGAACTGTACTGGTCATGGCTTCTCGTGATCTCAACCATTGAAATTATATCTGATATTAAACATGTATTACTTAATTGTTGTAAAATTAGGATGTTACTATCAGTTTCATAAGCAAAATTTCACTTTAAACACTGAAATTAGCCGGAAGATATTATTCAATTAGTTACGTTAATAGTTATTTAAATTCGAGTAAACAACGAGAATATAGTTAAATAGAAACCGATTTTATGAACACTGAAATGTACAAAATCCAAGTGTGTCTTTAATGCTAGTGTTTAGAGCTATTCACCAATCAATATGGAACATTGTAACATTGATTTACGTATCTAGAACTCTGATCTTTCTCAGAAGGAGGTTGATCACACTTTTCGTTCCAGTTGTCATTAAGCGTACACAAGTTACTAAAGTATATTTTCTGGTTGATAAATTTACAGTACTGTATTGTTGTTTTTTTTAAAAGAAAAAACTAAAACAGCTATCTTAAAGAGTATTATTTTATCTCGTAACACATAATTAAGTAACCAAAATGTTATATTTACAATATCGTGCATAGTATTTCAATCATTTCGTATTCATCATGTTTCAGGGAATTATTTTTCTCTTAATCCTGGTGATCAACTGGAAAATGAGGGAAGCATGGGATACAATGGACAGCTAGGATGCAGCTGCATGACCTAGACTTCGCAGATGATCTGGCTCTTCCATCGCGCACACAACAACAAATGCAGGAGACGACGACCAGTGTAACAGCAGCCTCACCAGCAGTAGGTCTCAACATACACAAAGGGAAAAGCAAGATTCTCCGATACAACACAACAGGCAATAATCGAATCACACTTGGCAGAGAAGATTTGGAAGATGTAAAACACTTTACATATCTGAGCGGCATCATCGATGAACACGATGGATCTGATGCAGATGTGAAGGCGCGAATCGGCAAAGCGAGAGCAGCATATTTACAACTGAAGAACATCTGCAACTCAAAACAACTGTCTGTCAACCGACACTTAAGTCAGAATTTTCAATACAAATGTCAAGACAGTTCTACCGTATGTGGCGGATACTTGGAGAACTACGAACGCCATCACCCAGAAGATACAAATGTTTATTAACAGATGTCTACGCAAAATACTTCGGATCCATTGGTCACACACTATCAGCAACAAGCTACTATGGGCGAGAACAAACCAGATTCCAGCGAAGGGAGAAATCTGGAAGAAGCACTGGAAGTGGATAGGGCACACATTGAAGAAAGCGCCCAACTGCGTCACAAGGCAAGCCCTCACTTGGAATCGTCAATGCCAAATAAAGGAGAACAGGAAGATCAAAGAAGAACACATTATGCTGAGAAATGGAGACAGGCATGATAAAAATGAGCAACAACTGGATAGAACTAGAAAGGAAGACTCAGGACAGAGTGTGTTGGAGAATGTTGATCGGTGGCCTATACTTCATTGGGAGTAACAGGCGTTAGTAAGTAAGTAAAGTTTCAGGGAACAAAAAAAATAAACGCTTTTTATTAGAAGTCTACTTGTAGCCGAATTCCCACTGTGTTCAAGTTTGCGATGATAGATTATTCACATTGGCGAGGTGAGCCAAACTATTTTCATCATCATATACTACAATCTTTGTCCATATTTTCATACTGGATCTAGTTAATTATCAGTGAAAAGATAAAAATCATTACAGAAATAGTTCATGTCCAAATTTTATCTTTATTTCTACCACCACCACCCCACACATAAAAAGAGTCAATGACACATAGGTAAGTATAAACACTGTTATCAAAACGTGTACTAATCAAGATTATATTAATAATAAGAATAGATTTTATAAATAGGTCACTGGTCACATATGATATTCCGACAATAAATACTACACTATACTTTGTTTTAACCGCCTAATACTCTTCACACCTAATTTAAACTATTCTATTTATTTATTTCTTTAAAAAATAAAACACGATCACTATGATAAAAGGAAGAAAAAAATACTACTGATTTTCTTATTCAGGTTAAAAGATTAACGATTTACACTTAGAGATAGATGTAGGAATATATTACTTTTTTAGGTCGTGTCAATAATAGTAACATTAATATATATATATATATATATATATATATATATATATATATATATATATAATTTCGTGTTTCTTTGCAAAAACAAAAAAAAAAAGAAAAGAATAAAAAAATGATCATTTACTTCCTGGTTTATTAAAAGGATAATATAAGATTACACGGATTTTCTGTTTAAATTTGATAATAAGATGAAAAGGAATACTATCAATAGAACACCCTTTGATGTTTTGTACAACTTTATGTATAGTTTAGAATTCATCCAATGAATAGATTGTTGATATAACTGAGTCAGGTCAATAACGTACTCAGGTGTTATGGTTTTCCGTTCTTTTTCTTTTTTCTGAATCTTATCTTCTAATGTACTATGTAACTTATTCATTATTGAATAACTTCATTAATGTATGTGTACATCTGAATGTTTGTATATGTGAGGTTACATTCATTACTGGATAATGATAGTCAACTCAGAAGAAAAAACCAATATGATCAATCTATTCATTTCTCTTCATTTTTCTACTTGAAAATATCAAAGAGTAAATTTCAACTTCAACTTCAATGGGATACATGACCTGAAATGTCTGTCATTCAATGTTGTAATGATAAGTTTTATTTTGTTTGCCTTGTTTCTTTCTCCTCAGTAAAACTCATTTCACTCAAAATTCTTTCTTTTTAAAAAAAATAATAAATTTTAATGCTTATCTGATTCACTAGTACACACAGCCTTCCCCCCCCCTTTAAAAAAACTTACCGACTTCCTCTTTTTTCTAAATATTATTAATTCTAGCCTGACCTATCAAGTAGAATGATCATTAAACAACAAGTGATTAGATATTAATTATTTACGTAAATGACTGAAGATCATTATTGTGTGCAGTGTAGACAATTATCTTAGAGATAAGACTGAAGGATATATATATATATATATATATATATATATATTTTCAGACCTACTCATTAAGACACAAATTAGCCATCACGGTTCCGGTATGCAGACTAAAATGAGGAAGTTATTAAATGTAATAAAATAAGTTATTATTATCATTTTGATGGATAAGGGCTAATATTAAATTGGGAGCATGTCTAAATGAAGTACCAGCATCTTGAGATATGTTTTTCTAGTGTGTGTGCGTGTGTGTTCGTATTTTCATTCAAACCTAAAAATTTATCCACCTTTCTACTCGTCTACCAACCTAACTAACTTATTGCTCAGGTGATTTGCTACTTGGTTGGTTGGTTGGCATGCTTCAAGAACAAGTAAAAGAATACTTCAGAATTTTTTCTTTATTTCCGGTAATGGGTATCGGAGTAAAAATGATATTAATAACAATAATAATAATGATAAAAGTGATTACAGGAAAGAAAAGTGTGTGTTATCGTTCTTGTTTGCTCTATTGAACAAAAAAATTTTCTGTTGAAAAAAATCACAACAATTACAATTGAATAATAAGAACTTTACTGGTGATGATGATGATGATAACGACCTCTCCTCACTATCTCTTATTACCATTTCTCTCCTGGTTCACATTCAGTGTTTCTTTTACGCTTTGAAATTTCTCCACAATTAAGCACGTATGAATAGCTGTATGTTATAAATTCACCATGGTTTTTTATATTATCTACTGAAGTGATGTATGGAGTGAGATTTTCTGAGAGTCATTTTAAAATCTGTTCGTCGTCTTCTTATGTATGAGTACAGACATACTTACTTACGCCTCTTACTCCTCATATAGCAGCATAGACCGTCCACTAGCATTCTCCATCCAACCCTGTCCTGGACAATCCTTTCCAGCTCTTTCCAGTTGTTATTCATCCTTTTCATATCTGTTTCTATTTCCCTACGTAATGTGATCTTTGGCCTTCCTCTTTCCCGTTTCCTTTCAGGATTCCAAGTTAAAGCGTGCCTCGTGATGTAGTTTCGAGATTTCTATAATGTATGTCTTATCCATTTCCATCATGTTTTCCTAATTTCCTTTTCAGCTGGAAGCTGGTTTGTTTTCTCCCACAGAAGGCTGTTGCCTTTTGTACTGATCAGAGGGGATATCTTATACCACTTATATGTGTGTATAAATATATGTTTCTGTTCTCATTATTCCCATCATTCTTATTTATAACATTTGTTTCAATTCTTCAAACCACCATATTATTACTGAATTGCTTCTGTCTTTTACATTGTATCTATTATATTCTTCCCTAAAAATATCTGGGCTTTCATCGAACCACACAATAAACGAACTGAGTTTAATGATGAAAAAATTTTGAATTGATATGACCTTAACAACAAAAAAGAGAGGGAGATGTCGGTAGAATAATTGATTTTTAAAGAGAGGTTACGCTTTCATAGCTGAATAATATTAATGAAGCAACTATTATGCATCAGGAATTCTTGAGCAAGTTTATAACTCGAAACTTTGTTCAGTTGAGTAAGTTGATATCAACCACAGAATGTTCCTTAACTAACTTCATATAGGAAAATTAAAGTAGCAAAACAAGGAAGCTTTCAACAACAATTTTCTCCTAGTGTC